AAAAAAAAAAAAAAAAAAAAAGAGTCGGTTTCTGACTCATAACTTCACCCACATGTGAGGTCTTTCCTCTCCAACCGAAGTCTGCCAGTCTGAAGGGAATGGATGGATACCTCTCATTTGACCAAAAGTGATTTTGCAGGTTTTTTTTTTTTTCTTTTTTGAGATGCAAGACAGAATTTAGTATATGACTCTGGCTTTATGTAATGGGTAGTCACAGAGCAGTGTTTACACTTGGGATCAATTGTTTAAGAAGAAGAAAATTGAAACCAAAAGACAAAAATAAAATCCTATTCTCATCTCTATGGCTATGCTGTTTATATATATGAGTCTAAAAAGCAAAGAAAGAAGACACCAATCTTTGAAGGAAGATATCCTATAATAATCCTTTCATTGCCACACATGTGATTTCTCTATAGAGCTTCCGTCCCAGACATCCAGGACCCAAAGAAAACTACAACCCATGGACAACCTCTTCCGCTCTGTGGGAGAGTGAAGTTGCTCGGTGCGGGTTTCTGCTGTCAGCAATGAAGGGCTCTGACCACAGGTGACGGTCACTCAGATCATCTTCTACCGGGTGGCTGGTTCCGTTTGAATTCATGTCTTAATGTTTCCTGAAATAGTTCAAGGTGGGGTCCGCAGATGGTGTGATGATTAAGGTTCTAAACTCGTACATGGTCAAGTGTGGTTTGAATCCCACACACGGTGGCTTGAAAATCATGCCGGGCGTGTGTGTGTGGGCATGACCAAAATCCCAAGAGGAGATTGGAAGAGAAGAGACTGTGACAATCCCATACTCCTAGGGGATGATTTTTCACTTTTCCCTTCTCTCTTTCTGGCAAGTACAAGTGCCCTGTGGCAATAAATAAATAAATAAAAGTTAAAGGCTTTGAGCCTTTAAATACTATGAGCTCTTCTGCTTTTAGCAAAAGTTATAACCTGCTTGTTTTTAATAATTGATCCTACAATCAGGTACATCCTGGGATTCAGTGCTCTGTTTAGCCTTTTTTTTTTTTTTAAATTATTTCATCATATCTAGGACCAGCAGATGTCATGATGGTGGACTCCCATGTAGTCAACTTCAGGTCAAGTCCCAGACCCAGCGGCTTAAAACTCACACCGGGCATGTGTGCATGCGTTCCCAAAATCCTGAGAGAAGAATGGAGGAGAAGGGACTGCAATACGGTCGTCCCTGCCGTGGGGCGGGCGGGTGGAGAGGGTGGGGGGGGAACTTCTTACTTCCTGTTTCTCTCTCTGGTGAGCACATACACCTTATAGCAAAATCATCTAAGATTTTTTTTTTCACCCTATCGTTGTAACATAAAGAGTATTAGTTCTCTAGTAATCAGTCTCATTTTGACAAAAGTAACATTTAATATATACAGGGTAAGGGATTCATTGAATTATCAAAGCCCAAACATATCCTGAAATGTTCTATCACTAGAGGTCAAACACATGACAGTACTGGGATCTAACAACCTTCTCAATAAATAGTTTCACCTCAGAGAAAGTCTGCCAACCACTTCATGTATTGGGTCGTCAGGAAAGTCATGATGCATTTTGCATAGGAAAACAGAGAAACTGTATCTTGACTTTTCCAACGACCTAATAAAACTGCTGTTTCAGCTTCTTTGCAACTTTTTAAGCTGATTTCCTGTGTTTAACTCAGCAGGGGGGATTTTGCATGTGTTGCAGATGTTCTGATAGACTACCCTTTTCTGGCAGGCCTGTCTGTGATGACTAATAGTCCAACTGTTTGGAAACCTGTCAGTTAATGCTTGCAAACATCTTATGGAGCTTTTGCTAGCAGGTTCCACCTTTAAGATTTTGCAATCCTGCAGGTTTAATCTTGTTAGATTTATAAAATAGCATAAATTCAAAACCTGGGAACTTCCTGTTTTTTTTGTTGTTGTTGTTCATCATAGAATTATTTTAGTTTTTATTTATCACAGTTATTCCATCTGGGTAGAATAAACATCCTTTGGTTGTCTTATGACATCTAATTTTACTCTTAATCAATAAGGCAATTTGACCAGAGGATTGCAGGCCCATGATTGGCTTCTACATTATTTTGATTGGCTTATATATTGTTTATTATAAGTTCTAAATTTGATGTCACCATAGTCAAATCAGGATATTTCAGATTTAAAAAAAAAAATGTGTCTTCTAGCACGAGACCCACACTTGATCCAACCTTGAATGGAATCTATTTTCCCTATTGTTAAAAACTTTGGACTCGTGACCCCTCTCCCTCCACTCGCAGGTATCGCATTTTCAATGACCACTCTGGAGGATAGCTGTCTATAGCAGAGATAGAGTAATTGGGAGAGGGGAAAGGGCTGAGGGTCAAACATAGGATAAAAAACATATTTATATGTATGAAAGTAGAAATGGAACAGTATTGGTGACGACATGCTTGATTAAGACACTATGCAGTTTATCCTAGATGGGAAACTACACTTGGTGTGTTGTGATGATACTCAGGGAACGAGTGTTAGGCAATATAATTTAATATAAAAAATAATAATAAGCAGGAGAAAAAAAAATGCACATTTGATGACTGAGGAGAGTTGTATGGACACAACTGGGGTCTACTTTATAGTATGTTCATTCTACTCCCTGGGGTTTATGCCTAGGATCAGATTTGGATACATGTGTAAGGATATGTCAGCTGTGCTAGCTAGTGGATATACTTAGACTAATTGAGTTCATTGGTAGAACAATTGAATGGGGGGGGCGGAAGGCATTGAGGGCAATCATGAATGTCAGGGACAATGGAGGAGGAAGATGGGACATGGCAGAGGGTGGGGATGGGGAATCTAGGATGGCAAAACAAAAGGCAAGGTATGCAGGACACAAAAATTGGGAAATCATTTGCTGAGAACATATATGTTGATGTGCTTGATTGAGCCAATGCACAGTGTATTTTGGATGGAAAATTCATATGTGTGTTGTGATGAGAAAAAAAAAATTTTATAATAAAAAACAAAGTACAAAAAAAAAAAAGGAGAGAGAAGAGGATAAAGACAGTAGTGAACAATAGAGAGGCAGGATGTTAATGAGAAATAGATATGGTTTATTACCTGTTGATGATGACATGTATAGTATTCTCAACTGAACCGGTCTGGGAAGTATTTCATGATGGGTGAAGTCTTTTTAATAAGCAAAATGAGAAATAGTGATTGATTGTTTAAAAAAAAAATAATAACAAGTATTGGGAAAAGCATGGAAAAGATATTGAATGATAAAGCGGGGAGATTGATATCTCTGTATTGACTGACATGCATGGCATCCCATTTTGAAAAAGCAATGGAAGTCAATGTAAAGTTATATGTAATCTAGTGTAATAGAAAGAAGATTATGATGATAATAAAATAAAATTAAAAAAAAAAATGTGTCTTCTTGAGAAAGTGTATGATCTGGTACATTGGGCCCTCCTGATGTGGCACCTCTTTGAGGGCTGAGTGGTTGCCTGCTCCACCCACAATATGCCTGCCAGGGTCCATTCATCCTACTTCAGTGATTTGTGGCCTTGTGTGGCCCCTACCATTGTTCCAATGTAAGGGCCCTGAATTACTCCAGGAATAGAATTTATTTGCTATTTCATTGTCTGGTCCTGATGCTGCTTAACATGGGGTAGGAAGCTGGGAAGAAGATGGGACTCAGGAATTTCTGAAATTCTGTCATTCAGTAAAGTAATTGGATTCCTCCTATTTTGTATTTTCTTCTAGAATATCATTTGTTATTCTGCTGTACCAATAAAAGTAAGACGATTAAATAGAAATATATAACAATAGGGAATCTACTACATACAAGAATATATGTTTAAAATTTATGTAATGGGACCAGCAGATGGCATAATGGTTACTTGCTAGACTCCCAAGTAGTCAACCGTGATTCGAGTCTCAGACCTGGTGGCTTAAAAATTTATGCTGGGTATGTGTGTAAACATGCCCACAATCCTGAGATGAGAATGGAAGAGAAGGGATTGCAGTGTGGCCATCCCCTCTGGGGGGCGGGGAGTGATTTCTTACTTTCTGTCTTTCTCTTTCTCTCTGATGAGTACACACACCCTATAGCAAAAATCTCTCTCTCTCAAAAAAAAAAAAAATTAACAGAGTCTAATTCAGAAAACCCTTCTACAGAAGAAGGATTTAAGGCTCAGAGAGAGTCAGCCACATCTTCGAGGTTTTCCAGCCACTAGGACTTAAAGTATGCGTATGCCTTAAGACGGCACTTGGGCTAGGGTAATCAGCTCATCCCAGCTTGTCACAGCCTTTCTGATTTCATCACTGAAAGTCCTATGTCCCAGAAAACTCTTCTGTCACAGGC